CGGCGAAAGAAGTCCTGGCGAGAGGCTTCGCCAACCTTCGGCCTCGGGGGGCCCTCACCTCGGCGTCACAGCGACGTACTGATACTACATGTGTGCGCCGCCCCCGCAGGCGCGCGCACCGAGAAGTCTCACAGTATACGCTCCGTGGTTGGTGCTTTCTGGCCGTGCCGCTCGGGAAACGAGGCATCACGAGATGGCTGTACGATGTGTTCGGGCCGGACGCACGTCTCCAAAGAGGACACACCGTATCAGCATGTCCTCGTGCCTCCAATCACCCACCAAGCCACCCCAACCCAACCCGAAGGCCTCCATTTGCAATCCATTTCCAGTGTGGGGGGTCGGGGAACATGGAAAAAAAAACATGGAACCCGTCCCCCCCCCAACCCGAAATTCGGGTCAAATTCGGGGCTGAAGGTTGGGTTGGGGTGGTCTGGTAGGTAGACCTCGTGCCTCCCACCACCAGGCTCCGTGGCCGTCAGGAGCGGTGCCGGAGCGGTCCCCGGGAGGAGGAGGAGGAGGAGGAGGAGGAGGAGGAGGAGGAGGAGGAGGAGGAGGAGGAGGAGGAGGAAGGAGGAGGAGGAGGGGAGGAGGGAGAGGAGGAGGAGGAGGGAGGGAGGGAGGGAGGGAGGGGGAGGGGGGGAGGGAGGGAGGGAGGGAGGGAGGGAGGGAGGGTGGGGGGGAGGGAGGGAGGGAGGAGGGAGGGAGGGCAGGCGGGGATGGAGGGATGGAGGGATGGAGGGATGCAGGAATGGAGGGATGCAGGGATGGAGGAGGAAGAGGGATGGAGGGATGGAGGAGGAGGAGGAGGGATGGAGGGATGGAGGAGGAGGGGGAGGAGGAGGAGTCGGAGGAAGGATAAAGGAGGAGGGGGAGTGGGGACGACCTCGGAGGAGGGAGCGAGGAGGACAGGGGGCCAGACCTCTGGGGGTGTCTGGCCGGCGGCGCGCCTCGAAGGGGGGGCGGCCTGCCCAGAAGGCCCCGAGGGCCTCCAGGGAGGCCCCGGAGGCCCAGAAGGCCCCGGGGGCCTCCAGGAATCCATGGCGGGCGGCCGGGCACCCCGAGGAGGCGGGCGGCGGCGGGGATGGAGGGAGGGGGGAAGGCGGGAGGGAAGGCGGGGACGGAGGGAGGGGGGAGGGGGCAGGGGAAGGCGGGAGGGGAGTTTTTTTTTTTTTTTTTTTTGGCCACCATGGGCCGAACCAGTACAGCGGCATCTAAACCGACGCCGCTGGGACTGGGGACGGCCCAGGCCCGACCCTGAACCACACCCGAGTGGGCATGGTCTCGCGTCGAGCCTGGCCGCGTCCCCTTAGTCACTATCGTCAGAAAAGGGGCCCGACGACGAGAGGAGGGGATCCTCCACCTCCTGCTCCTTCCTCGGGCCCGCGGCGGCGGCGGCGGGTCCGCAGCTGGTCCTGCTGCGCCCGCTCGCCGCCGACACGCGAGGACCTGGGCGCGGCGCGCCTGCGGGCCTGCACGCATCCCCCACCCCGCCGTCACCACCGTCCCCGCCCCCAACTCTAGCCTGGACACGGGCACTGACGGCCGCAAGAGACGGGAGCGGACGAGCAGCCGCTGGGATGGAGAGCGGTCGGTTGGCGGCGATATACTCCGCCACCACGGTTGGATTCGCCGCCTCGACCGCCGCACAGGACACCGCCAACGGTTTCTTGGGGTGGAGCCCACGCCTCAGCCTCCTAAGGGCCGTGGTGCCTGCACTACTACGCTGCTCGTCCGAATGTGGCTTAACGCAACGCTTAGCCAACATATGAATTCGATGCTGCGCGAAACATCCACACAGCATACAAAACAACAGAGGGCTCTCCTGGTCCGCAACCTGGGTACTGGCCAGCTGGTGGCCGTGGTTCGGGGAAGAGGTCAAGAGCTCCTGCACCAGACGCGGGAACCCCGAACATCCAACCTCGGGTCTGGAGTCCTCACAACCACTATAAAAACAGAGACAATTGCTGCACCTGTGGCCCCATAACCAGGGCTCCCAAGCATGCCAGCCGTCCACTGCTTTAAAAAGTTTGACACGCTTGTCTTGCTTCGGAGGCCTCTGATGCTGGACCCTCGGACAAAGCGGCAAAATCTCCGCCACAAGTCGTGCCACCGTTTCGAGATCTCTGATCGAGCTACTTACTGCATCCCACTCGGCCTGAGCTGGCTGAGGGTGTAACAATATTGCTTGCTTGGCTTCTCTGTCCGCCCGCCAATTAGCTTGACCGATCCATCTCTCGGGGGCAGGGAGTGCTTCGATCTCACTGAGATCACGGTGTGCTGGAGTATACACTGCTGGCGCATATCTGTTGGCCTGCATATGCTGTAACGCTCCACGCCGTAAGCCCGAGTACTTATGCTTAGGGTTAAGCTGCATCTGTGGGGAACTGTTGTGCAACCGAACCGCATTCATACAGTCACTGTAACACGCAGCACCATACGGGGGTACGAATATGGGGAGGAGGCTGAGCGCAAGTTGTTCTGCCGCCTGACTCGTCTGCGGTAGAGATGGCCACACTGTGCCCTTCGCTGTCGCCACCTGCTGTCCATCGGCCCCAAGGAAGACCCAAGCATACGAGGCCCTGGAGAGCTCCTTTATCATGTGTGGGACGCACGAGCCATCACCCGACACGCTCAGGCCCTCTGGGTTGAAGGCGCTCCAGTCCATGGGGGCGCCCTCAGAGTCGAACAGGAGCGGCTCATGCTCGTCGCTCGGCCGAGGCCACGAGGAAGAAGGGTGCCGAAACTTGAGAGTCCTGAAAAGAACTCCTGCGCACCTTCCTGTGCCTGCTGGAAGAAAAAATCAGTGGCCTGTACGGCCTCACGGGCGTTCTTAATCTCCGTCGACCCCTCACACTTGTACAAACGGTGGTGGATGGAGTCAGGTTGGTTGCAAACAGGGCACAAGCCTCGCGACAGGTACCCCGCACGGACCACACGATCTTCACACCAGATCCCGTCGCAAAACATGGCTCTCACCATATACTTGCCCTGGGCACTCAACCCCAAACCCTTGCCGTGGGCCTTGGTAATCCTACGTATGGGTTCAACACAAACTCGCTCCCCTTCGCCCCACCCAAGGCTGCTCCCCAGGACCCTCTCGTGATGCCTTTGGACACCCTCTTTAAGCAGGGCGTTAAGCATGGCAGGGGAGTTGTAAAAGAGCGACAGCTCATTCCCTCGGTCATCGGTCCAGACAAAGGGTCCATTGCTTTTCCAACCGATCCTATCCAGGGACAGCCACGCTCTAGATATGGGGCCTTTAGTTTTTCCCCACACGAGTCCTTCCTTGGGCACCGCCAACCACATGCGCCGAAGGTCGGGCAGCGTGAAGTGCGCGAGGCCAGGCTTAGTGGTCGTGTGCCAAACGGCGCTGGCCCAAGCTAAGGCAGGGGCAACCATACTACGCCAGACTGGGTCGCCGTGCAGCACCGTCTTGGCCTTGACCGAAACTCCCGCATGAGCGGGCGACTGGAAGGAAAGCATTATCGAACGAATCTTTTTAAGCTCGGCATCCGTGGCTCCCGTGACCGTGTCCCCGAAAGAAACGGCAGGCCGAACCCCCGCCGTGTAGATTTCCCCAATCCGACCCTTGTCCCTTGGGAGGCTCTTTCTTAGACGCTTGAGCTTACGATGCCTTCTAATCATGTCGGCAATCCTGGTCCTACGCTTAACACACACCTTGTTTCTTCCACGCTCAACCCCAGGAGCCAGATCAACCCCCAAAGACACAACATGGGTACCCACCGTTCCAGCCAGCGATCCAATCCTGCGTCCAAGCCGTAGCGACAGGGAAGGGGTGGAGGCGAAGGTGAAAAGCTTGTCGGTCGCCAGGCCAACTCCTAAATCACTTTTGAAAACCTCGTGGAGGTCCTCCGCGGCTTTTCCCAAAGCCTCAACAACATGGTCTGGGCTGCCGTACGCACTGACCGTGTCACCATCAATGTGCGAGGCCAACGCCACGTCACGGTTGCGCTCCAGAAACCGATCGAAAGGGGCCATCGCATAGACCTTGACACATATGTCATTGAGACAGGACCCCGCTGGCAGCCCAGGCGTCGCAAAGAGCGGCACCAGGCTATGATCCGTGCCAAGCCGTAGGATCCTCGGCCCTCGCCAAAAGTTGAAGGTGACCTTCACCATGACAGCTGACAGCCCCGCAGCCAAGGATCGGTCACGAAGGGTGGTGAGCCTGAACGACTCGTAGTATTTGGAGCCGTCCCACGAGAACCCCCCCGTGACTCCACCATCCCCTTCCTCTGCTTCAGCTCTCACCGCCTGATTCCAGATGCTGCCTTCCGCCGACCTGCCCAAACCGAAGGCCCAATACTTCCTGGGATGATTTTCCTGGAATCCCGAGACAGTGGAACGCCGAGCTTTCTCCCAGAGCCTAACAGGGGCAGCGCAAAGCAACGCAGGCCTGAGACCCCCTTTCGGTTTTTCAAGCAGGGGGAAAAGCATCCAGTACACCGCTTTCGGGAAGGCTCCGATCTTCTCAACAACTTGAAACATGCAGCAGAGGGCCTCCAGGCCTTCGTCACAAAGCATACCGTAGTGCCTGACATGAACCCCGTCCAAACTCTGCGCCGTCTGCGGGCTGAAGGTTCTACGCGTCGCACGGATATCATCGGGCCTCAGGCGCTCGAAACATTCGCGGTCCCGAACTTCGAGGGGCTCGGGGCACGGCGTGGCCCCCCCAGAAGGAACCTAACACGTTGGCCTCATTCGCGAGCAGCTTTCGCGGGTCCGACGAGTAAACCCCTGGAGCCGTTTCGATGACCGTGGGGGCCCACTTGGGTTTCAACCGCGACAGCTTGTGCATCTTCTTGGCCGAGCCAGAAAGCGCCTCTCTCTGCCATTGGTCCCAGCTCACCTTAGCACGGTTGTCCAGACCCGTACGGGCCTCTTCGAACTCATCACTCCAATCGTCGAGCGCACTCGTTAGCTTGGTGAGCCAACTGGCGATCTGGGTCCAATCCTGAGGGCGAGACCCTACTAACTGCCTGGCAGCACCGACGGTGGCGTCCAGCCTCACCGACAGGCCCTCGCCGTCGAAGGGCTGGCGGAGGCTGGCGCACAGGTTACAAAGCGCCTGAACGTCCTGATGGTCACCGCCGTCTCGGTTCTCGTGAACCCTCATAGCCGTGCACTGGAGATCTCGAAGCGTCTGCTGGAGCCAAATCCACCCTTCCAAAACCAACTCTTCGTCCTCGGGCCTTCGTCTCGGCTTAGCGAAAACAGAAACCCACTTAGCCGACGGCGGCAGCCCCTTGAGGCCTTTGTTTTTGATCGGGGTGTCGAGCTTACCTTCGAGCTCCAGCTCCATAACATCAGAAAAACTTGTCCACGCTAAGTTCAGCAGATTCCACGCCACACTCACAGACTCATGACTGGCAGCTCTGTTAGCTTCCTCAGCGAGGGCACGCGGGGCCACCCAGGACGGAGGCTGAGGAGAGGGGCCCACAGGGAGCTCCCGAGGAAGCCTCTGATGAGTCTGGTACACTAACTGTTTGATCCCACTGACACCTGCCTTGAAGTGCAACTGGACAGGCTTGTGTGGTCGGTGAGGCCATGTGGTGACGGTGCTGGTCTTGTCAACCAATTTCGCCACCGCCGGCGAGACCGCGAAATAATCAATGAACGAATTAGCCGCTGGTGTCGAGCATGTTTCGACTGGAGGCTTCAAAATGATCATGTTGGCTTTCCTCGGCATCCCCGACAATTCCAGGATCGATTCGTGAAAGTTCCAATCGCACCCATGATAGCCAGGTGCTGGCCCTCTAAACACTCCCCCGCCCGTTTCAGGATGTCCAAATTGCGTTTGCTGAGACCTTCCGAATGAACTCGACCACGATGAGCCTATGGGGAACCAGCACACCCTTCGAGCACCACGATGGCCACCGAATACCTACCGACGTACGCGCGAAGATCGCCACTCCTGCAGATGTCTGGCCTCCTTCACATGGTATTGACGGCGTTCAGAGCAGGTGCCAACCTAACGAGAGCGCCTTGGCCGTCTTGTCCCTTTGCATCTCCTCCGTAAACCCCACTTCTTGAGCGAACAACACCAAGGCCTCCGACCGAGTGAGACGTTTCTCGAGGGTCCTCCAGCTATTACCGTTGTAACACTCAAAAACCTGCCCTGGATGGTCATCAGCTTTTAAACGACACGTTGGCGGCGGACAGACGGCCCCGAATTTCGAAATCTTGAAACCCGAGCACCACGGCATGCCACTGGCAGAGGGGGTGGGGCCTGCGCCACCAGGAGCAGCTGAGCGCACGCTCTGCCGCTGCTGGGCGGCCCCCTCTACCGCGACCCCTTCCGCTCTGCAGCAAAGATTTCGAGTGGGATCCAGCGCCAGGTGGGGATGAGGATGCGCCGCAGAGGCGCCACAAACGTTGCCCAGCTGGGCCTCGGGGTCGCTACAAACGGCCCCTGGGACCTCAAAAGCTTGGCCAGACCGAGTCTCCGTGAGCGTAGAGACATGGCCTATCATCGTCGACTGCACAGAACTACCCTGAGCCTCCGCCTCGGAGACTCTCAGCACATGAGCCTGCCCGCCTACCGCTTGATCGTCGTCGAAGCTGCCGTAGACCAGGTAGTCGAACAGCCGCCACTGGATACGCAACGAGTTCTGCCGCTGGACTGTCCAGTCAACTCCAAAGTGCATCACGTAAAAGTCAAAGGCATCATCGGTCAAGACGGTGGGCACACGCTTCGGTTCGACTGTTCGAACTCCCCGTGCTGGCCCTGGACCACAGTGTGCACTCAACCTCGCCACCTCCTCACGTCGACCAACTTTCTTGGGCGGGGCGAGCGCTGCTTGCTGGAGAGTGGGCCAATGCGCTTCACCAAGTACTGCGAATGGCTGCAACCCTCCAGCGTCATCCTTTCCGCATAATCGATCATCGTCAAAGCTGAGCTGTGCGTGGGCGCTTGAGTCGGGCTGCCGACAGCGCTTCCACGATCGCTCGCTTGTCACCCTTGTGCTTCTCCCAGAAAGCCTCGACATCGGCTGCGTCCTGGAAGCAAGCGTCCAGCTCCTCATCATCATCCATAGGCACAGGTTCAGTGACACCATCTTTACTGTCACTGGCCGCCTTCTTGGCATTCTCCATGAGGAGCTTCTCGTAGTCCTTGAAGGCCTGGGACTCCAGCATCTCTTTGATTTCGTCATTGCCCTGAAGAACCTCCGTTGGCAGCTCCAAGCTTGGGACACGAGGAAAGGCACGACCAGGAGCATCCTGTGGTATGGAATCCACGAGCTGCTGGTTGAGATCCTTGACTTCTGCATCCAATGCTTTTTGCTTTGCCAACAAATCATCACGCTTGGCCTCCGCCTCCTTGATCGACTCGTTCTGGAGGCGCAGCTCTTCAGCGACTTGAGTCTGGCGCTTCTTGGCTTTCGCCAGCCTGTGCCCGACATTAGTGTGAATCGTGATATCCGACTTCTTGGCCTCCAACTTGGCGCGCACATCTCGAAGCTGTGCCAGCAGGAGGTCCTTCGCCGTCGCCATGTGGTCTTTGTCACAAGACTTGATCGCATCCTCGAGCTCAGCTGCCTGGGTGACCAAGGGATCCTCCTCGGCCTCCGCGCCCTGAGCTGAGGGTGGCTGCTGACCTCCTCCTCCAGCTGGGCCTTGTGGCCCTCCAGCCGCCCCTCCACGAGGTTGGGGCGCCTTGATGAAGGAGTCAATGCGCTTCGTCCGCGATCTGCTTCTCAAGCTTAGACTGCTGACGTTCACCCTGCTTCGGAGCAGGTCCGCCGCCACCAGGGTCGCGAGGAGCAGGGCCACCAGCACCACTGAACGACTTGGCCTTCGCGATGACGTGCTTGGGGGCTGGGGCCCCACAGCGACACCGAAGCCTGCACGCCCAGTTCGATGTGAGCCCGCATGTCTGGCATCCCCAGTACGGTAGCTTGGGACCCCTGACCACATCCTTATTCGCCATGCGCCCCCGCGGGGCAGAGTTCGTCGTTGCTCCAGCAGGAGCTCACAAATCACCGAGCCAAAATCAGCTCGCAGCAGCACTTGGCCGCTCTGAAGGTGTACTGCTGCAAGCCCAAAACTTGGGCCACAACCCCTGGCGGGAGGGGAGAAGGAGGAGGAGGAGGAGGAGGAGGAGGCGGAGGAGGAGGTGGAGGAGGAGGTGGAGGAGGAGGAGGAGGAGGAGGAGGAAGAAGAGGAGGAGGAGGTGGAGGAGGAGGAGGAGGAGGTGGAGGAGGAGGAGGAGAAGGAGCCTCCTCCTCCTCCTCCTTCTACTCCTCCTCCTCCTCCTCTTAAGTTGGACCTGTCCCTCTACAGGAGCAATATCCAAAAATAGGCAAACAAGCAGTCTGGGGACGATTTTGGATTATGGCCTCTTGGGGCTTCTTGTGGGTCTCGTGGGAACCTCTTGGGGGCATCTCGGATGCCTCTTGAGGCCTCCTGGGCACCTCTTGGGGCCCTCTTGATGTACCCTTGGGGGCATTGGGGGCCATCTTGGGGAAGAGCGATCAAAGGAGGGGAACTCCTCAATTGGGCCCCGCCCTCCCCTCCCCCAGGAGGCCAAACCGTGACCAAATCCTTAGTCAAACGAGTAATTTGGGCTCTCTCGCCGAGCCTATCTTGGACGCTCCAACGTCTCACGGAACCCTCCGTCCAGACTCAGGGGGAGGGGATAGGGGGAGGGGTCAAGCTACTCTCCTGGATAGCAAGCCGTCTAGCTCACTCCCACCCGCCCTCCCAACACATCAGTACCACCCGAGTGTTGGCAGGTCGCTTAGGAGCGCCACACACGACATGCGCACCACGGGTTCCAGGTGCACCAGGTACCCTGGCTGGAGGCCCAAGCATGCCAAGCGCGCCAGGTGCGGCACGTGCTTCACGTACGCCAACTGTGCCACGTGCTCCAGCCGCGCCAGGTGCGCCAGCTACGAGGAACCAACAGGGAGCACAGGTGCCTGGGGCCCAGGTCCCAAGGAGGTCAGGATCTCGAATCCCCCTGAAGCGAAGTGCCGAGCATTCTGTGAGAAGGGTGGATCCTCCAGGGAGCGCAAAGCACCAGCACCGGTGGACAAACTGTGACATCTTGAGGGGTCGTGGAACACATGAGAGCTCAGAGAAAAGAGCGCCCTGCGCATGCTCACGATTTGGAGGCAATGTGTATTTTGTATTGCTTCTTGACAGGAATGGTTTTCCTGCGCACAACTAGCAATATGCAGGCACCCCCGCCGTCACTGTCAACAAAACAATGCGAAGTGGTCGCGGGGCGCCCGCGCATGCTCCAGGTTTGGAGGCATTTTTTACAAGGGATAGTGGTGTGGGGGGTCCTCATTGGTCTGGGTTGACTGCTGGTCGCCTGGGGGAGGGTGTTTTTTTTTATTGGGAACGGTGATCAGCCCGTCCCCCAAGGGAAAGGAGGGGGGTTGGAAGCAGAAATTCGCTAAACTGTTCACGCCCTAAAGGGCTGGTGGGATTTGGTGGGGGTCTTCCCGAGCGAAGCCTCCCCTCAGGCTGGCGCGGGTGCCAGACGCTGCGCGACGCGATGGCTGTGGGGAGGCCTAGGGCAGCGCTGCGGGCTGCCGCTCTCTGTCGGGGCGGCCCAAGCCACGGGGATAGCGGGCGAGGGAGGGGACCGGTCAAGGGAGGGAGTGGGGGAGGGGAGGGGACCGGTCAAGGGAGGGAGGGAGGGTAAGGGGAAGGGGACCGGTCAAGGGAGGAACGGTAAGGGAGCGAGTAAGGGGTCAGGAGAGAAGAGCGAGCAAGGGAGGGATGGAGGGAGGGAGGAAGGAAGGAAGGAAGCAAGCAAGGAAGGAAGGAAGAAGGACGGACGATGAGATGAGGAGGAGGAGGAGGAGGAGGAGATGGAGGACGAGAGAGGGGGAGAAAGACGAAGGGAGGATGGAAGAGGGGGTTGGAGACGCAGGAGGGGGAGGAATGATGATGCTGCTGGTGATGATGCTGCTGCTGATGATGATACTAGTAATGATGATGATGATGATGATGATGATGATGATGATGATGATGATGATGATGCTGATGCTGATGCTGATGATGATGCTGATGATGATGACGCTGATGATGCCGATGTCGATGGTGATGATGATGATACTGATGACGAAGCTGATGATGATACTGATGACGATGATGATGATGATGTTGATGGTGATTGTGATGATGATGAGGACGAAGATGCTGATGATGAAGAGGAGGATGATGATGACGATGATGATGATGATGATGCTGCTGATGCTGATGCTGATGTTGATGCTGCTGCTGCTGCTCATGCTGATGATGATGGTGATGATGATGATGGTGATAATGCTCTAGCTGATGATGATGATGATGATGATGATGATGACGATGTTGATGATGCTGCTGATGCTGATGCTGATGCTGAATATGATGCTGCTGATGATGATATTGATGTTGATGATGCTGCTGATCATGGTGGTGATGATGAGGACGATGATGATTATGCTAATGCTGCTTATGACGAGTCTACTGATGCTGATGATGACGATGATTATGGTGACAATGATGATGCTGATGATGAGCACGTTGATGATGCTGATGATAATGACGACGATGCAGATGATGATGCTGATGATGATGATGATGATAATAATGATAATGCTGATGATGCTGCTGATGATGATGCTGATGATCATGATGATGGTGATTATGCTGATGCTGCTGATGATCATGATGGCGAGTATGATTAGTAGTGTCATTATGATCAGTATCCTGATTATTACGTTTAATAGGGTTTGTTTTTGTTCTTTTGTATTGCTATGTTTATCATGCTTATATTTGTAACTAGTACTAACGTTATTGATGTCATTCGCATATTACTACGACTACTACTACTGACACTACTACTACTACTACTACTACTACTAATCCTACTGCTACTACTACTACTACTACTACTACTACTGCGACGACTACTACTACTACTGCTACTACTGCTGCTACTACTGCTACTACTGCTACTTCCACCCTCATTACTACTACTACTACTACTACTACTGCCACTACTGCCACTACTACTACTACTACTACTACTACTACTACTACTACTACTGCCACTACTACTACTACTACTACTACTGCTACTACTACTACTACTACTACTACTACTGCTGCTGCTGCTGCTGCTGCTGCTGCTGCTGCTACTACTACTCCTGCTACTACTACTACTACTACTACTACTGCTACTACTACTACTACTACTACTACGACTACTGCGACCACTCTGATGGCGATGGTGCCGATACTGATGATGGTGATGATGATGATGCTTATGGTGGTGCTGATAATGATTATTCAGATGAAGATGGTGAAGATGATGATGATCATGATCACGATGCTGATGATGCTGATGATGTTGATGATAATGATGATAATGATAAGGATGAGGATGCTGATGATGACGATGGTGATGGTGATGATCATGCTGATGCTGCTGATTATGATGAAGCTGACGATGATTAGGATGATGGTGATGGTGGTGATGCTGCTGCTGCTGATGATGACACCGATGTGGCTGATGAGGCTGAAGATGATGATGGTGATGATGCTGATGCTGCTGATGATGCTTCTGATTATACGGGTGATTATTTTGATGATGCTGATGATGTTGACGATGTTGTTGATGATGATGCTGGTACTGTTTATGATGATGACAATGATGTTGTTGATGATGCTGATGCTGGTGATGAGTATGATGTTGATGATGATGATTGTGGTGATGACGATAATGGTGATGGTGATGGTGATGATGATGATGATGATGATGCTGTTGTTGATGATGATGATGATGGTGATGCTGATGGTTTTGGTGATGAGATGATTATGACGATGATGTGATGATGATGGCGATGATGATGATGATGATGATGATGATGCTGATGTTGATGATGATGATGATGATGATGATGATGATGATGATGATAATGATAATGATACTGATGATGATGATGATGATGATGATGAGGATGATGAGGATGATGATGATGATGCTGATGATGATGATGATGATGCTGATGATGCTGATGATGATGATGGTGATGATGATGATGATGATGATGATGATGATGATGATGATGATGATGATGATGATGATGATGATGATGATGATGATGATGATGATGATGATGATGATGATGATGATGATGATGATGATGATGATGATGATGATGATGATGATGATGATGATGATGATGATGATGATGATGATGATGATGATGATGATGATGATGATGATGATGATGATGATGATGATGACGAGGAGGAGGAGGAGGAGGAGGAGAGGAGGAGGAGGTGGAGGAGGAGGAGGAGGAGGAGGAGGAGAGGAGGGAGGAGGAGGCGGAGGAGGAGGAGGACGAGGAGGAGGAAGAGGAGGATGGTGATGATATGTCCGCCGTTGATTCGCTTCTGTTGTTGCTTTTGTTGCTGCTGAGGAGGAGGAGGTGGAGGAGGAGGATGAAAGAGGAGGAGGAGAGGGAGGGGGAGGGAGGAGGAAAACGAGAGGGAGGTTTCAGGAGTACAAGTTCACGGGTGATCAGGAGGGAGAA